TGAAGGAAAAATAAAGTATTTTCTAGACAAACAAAAACTGAAGGAATTCATCACCATTAGGCTGGCCCTACAAGAAATGCTTAAAGGAGTACTACACTTAAGCAAAAGGATATCTACCTTCATAAAACTGGATGTGCAAACACACAAATGAGGAAGAAAAAGAACTCAAATGTTACTATGACAGAAAAATCACCAAACTGCAATGACAAACAACACAATCAAAAAAAGGAACAAAGGATTAACAAAACAACCAGAATATAAGAAAACCATAGGAATAAGTCCTCACATAATGATCTTGAATGTAAACAGAATGCCTGAATGGATTTTTAAAACATGACCAAACTATATACTGCCTATAAGAAAGTCACTTCACCTGTAAGGCAACAGATAGACTGGTAGGAAAGGAATGGAAAAAATATTCCATACAAATAGAAACCAGAAGTGAGGAGGAGTAGGTGTACTTATTTCAGATAAAATAGACTTTAAGTCAAAAACAATAAAAAGAGACAGGATAATTAGATAATAATAAAAGAATTCAGAAAGAGGATATACGAATTTTAAACTTATACTCACCCAACATTGATACATCCAGATATATAAAGCAAATATTAAATCTAATGTGAGAGAGAGACTCCAGTAAAATAATAGCTAGAGACTTCAACATCTCATTTTCAGCATTAGGCAGATCATCTAGACAGAAAATCAACAAAAAAACATTGAGCTTAAACATCAATTTAGACCAAATGGCCCTAACAGATAATTACAAGTATTTTATTCAATAGCTGCAGGACACACATTCTTCTCTTCAGCACATGGAACATTCTCCAGGTTAGATCATGTGTTAGGCCACAAAAGAAGTCTTAACAAATTTTTAAAAATCAAAATCATATCAAGTATCTTGTCAGACCATGACAGATTAAAACTAGAAATCATTAACTAGAGGAACTTTGGGAACTGTATGAACACATGGAAATTAAGCTAAATGCTCATGAATGACCATTGACTCAATGAAGAAATTAAAAAATAAATTTAAAAATTCTTGAAATAAATAAAAATGAAAACACAACATACCAAAACCTATGGTATATAACAAAAACAATGCTAAAAATGGAATTTTATAGCAATAAATACCTCCATCAAAAAGTAGAAAGATTTCAAGTAAATTAACAATGCACCTCAAGAGACTAAAAAACCAAAAACAAACCAACCACAACAAAAATTGATAGAAGGAAATAAATAAGAATCAGAGCAGAACTAAGTGAAATAGATACTTAAACAAAGGATCAAGCAAATCAAAACTTGGTGTTTTAAAAGACAAAATTAATAAAACATTAGGTAGACTAACTTATGAAAAGATAGAAGATACAAATTAACAAAATCAGAAATGAAAAAGAAGATAGAACTGATGCTGTAGAATTACAAAACATCATCAGAAAATATTATGAACAACTATGTGCTGATAAACTGGAAAATCTAGAGGAAATTGATAGATTTCTGGACACATATAGCCTACCAAGATTGAAATAAGAAGAAATAGAAAACCTGGTTACTGGGTACTACAAACATACTGTTAGATACAAAGAATAAGTTCCAAAGTTCAGTAGCAGAGTAGATTTATTATAGTTGACAACAGTGTATTTTATATTTCAAAATAGCTGAAAAGAGGCCTAGAAATGTTCTCAACACATAACCAGATGGCCTCACTGCCAATTTTTCCCCAAACTTTCAAAGAACTACCACCAATTCCCCTCAAACTATTCCAAAAAATTGAAGAGGATGGAATTTTCTGTAACTCAATCTACAAGGTCAGCATTTATTCTGATACCAAAATCAGACAAGGACATAAAAAATAAATAAAATTACAGGCAAATATCTCTGATGAATATAAACATAAAAATCCCCAACAAAATGCCAGCAAACCAAATTCAACAACATATCAAAAAGATAATACACTGTGATCAAGTCAGATCTATCCCAGGGATGTAAGGGTGGTTTAACATATGCAAATCAATAAACAAGATACATCAACAGAAAGAAGGACAAAATCATATAATCATCTGAGTAGGTGCAGAAGAAGCATTTGATAAAATTTAACATTCCTTCATGATAAAACTCTCAACAACCTAGGCATAAATGGAACATCCCTCAAACTAATAAAGTCCATATATGACAAACCCACAGCCAACATCGTACTGAATAAAGATAAATCATTGAGGTGTGTCTGGGCAAGATGGAGCACACCTGTCATCCCAGGCAGGTGGATCACTAGGTCAAGAGATTGAGACCAGCCTGACCAACATGGTGAAACCCTGTATCTACTAAAAATACAAAAATTAGCCAGGCATGGTGGTGGGCACCTGTAATCCCAGCTACTTGGGAGGCTGAGGCAGGAGAATCACTTGAACCTGGAAGGCAGAGGTTGCAGTGAGCCGAGATTGTGCCACTGCACTTCAGCCTGGTGACAGAATGAGTCTTCATCTCAAAAAAAAAAATTGTTGAGGTGATAGATATCCTAAATAACCTGACTTGTTATGCACACTGTACATATAACCAAATATCATGTGTACCCCATAAATATGCACAAATGCTATCTATTAACAAAAAAGAAAACAACAAGATGTAGTAACCTGAAACCACAGGAAAAAATTAATAGAACCAGAAATTATAAATAAGAAGGTTAATATAATAGCTAATTGGAAATATGTACTTCTTTCTTGTCTCAGATTTTTTAAAAAGCATAAAATTATATACAGAAATGATTATAGCCAGGCACAGTGGCTCATGCCTGTAATCCCAGCATTTTGGGAGACAGAGGTAAGCAGATCACAGGTTCAGGAGTTCAAGACCAGCCTGGCCAACATGGGGAAACTCCATCTCTACTAAAGATACAAAAAAATTAGCCAGGCATGGTGGTACACACCTGTAATCCCAGCTGCTTGGAAGCCTGAGGCAGGAGAATCACTTGAACCTGGGAGGCGGAGGTTGCAGTGAGCCAAGATCGCACCACTGCACTCTAGCCTGGGTGACAGGGCCACAGGGCACTACTCAGTCTCAAAAAAAAAAAAAAGGAAAGAAAGAATTATAATAATAACTACAACTTTGTCTTTATTATTTACAAATGCATTATGGATAACAATAGCACAAAAATGGGAACCGGGAATACAGCTATATAAGAGTAACTTTTCTATATTTCACTGGAATTTAATTAGTATAAATCTAAAGTACTTTTTAAAATTGACTGTGATGGTGGTGACAGACATTACTGAATGTATTAAAATCCATAGAATTTAAGATTTTAAATAGCCTATTAAAATATTCAGTGAACTTCAAGGAGAAAAAGATTTTTAAAAGATTTAAAGCAAAGAGAGGATATTGTAAAGGACAAAAATTGTGACTCTTAGTAATTGTAAGTGTTTCCAGCACATACCTTTTAATTTCTAGTATTTAACCCAATCCCTCAAATTATCTCATTTTTTCCCTGAATGTGTAAGGATCATTTGCTTGCTCATTTCAAATGAAGTGGTCCTTCTTAGATATATCAGCTGAAGAAAGAACAAAGGAAGCTAAAAAATCTGCTCATGTTTCCAGTTTTGAGTTGCTATATCTCTTATATTGTTACTTAATTACTGAAAACTTGTTCTGCTCAATCTCATAGATAACTTTTTACTTTCGTAATGAGGCAATGCTCAGTATAGAATACAGTTGTGGCATATTTGAGCAGCTGGTGTCATAACTGTTTGCATTATTCATGTATTCATCGATTTTTCCAAAACAGCAATGACAACAAATCACTCTACAATACAGTGACAGGATTGACAGGTGTCCAATCATAGTTATATACTCTACTAGAGCCAATTCTACCCATAGAATCTTAAGCCCAATGTTGACCTTATGTCACCAATCCTCATTATCCCCTTTTCAATATGAATTTCTTTTTAACATTTTTATGCATTTTTATATCATTGAACTTAGTAGTTTCTAATTCCACAAAAATATCAAATCACATAGAACTTAAATGGAAATGGATCCAATAACAATTCTGGTAGTGCTGCAAATCTGACCATTACCTCCTTGATTCACATTCAAGTGATCAAAGGCAGTTTTTCAGTTTGACAAATATCTTATTTTTTCATAACTAATATCTAAAGAATTTACAGTTACATACACTAAAAAAAAGGAAAGAAATATTCCTCGATGAGTCAAATAATTTCTGCCTCTTGATAAGGTTCTGTGACTAACAAGGCCATGGTTTGCCTATGGGGAAAAAAATGTTCCATCTCACCTACTACATACCTTCAGGCTGAATAGGTTTTTAGTGTAAACTTGAAAGATACATTATCATCATAATGTCCCTTAGGATGATTTGAATTTGCCTAAGAGACAGCAGTGTATAGAACAATTCCTTGTTAGGAAATTATTCAGCATCAGGTTATGGATCAGTTTCACCTTTTCCTGGATATATGATCTTTCAATTCATTAAACATATCTAAGCCTGAATATAGTCTGGCTTATATAATTTTAGCAGCCTTTCCTTTTTAAGGTTTTTGTTATTTTCCAATCCAGACATTTCACTTTAATTTTTCTTCTATAAATACAATTTTTCTTTTTTGGGGACAGAGTCTTGCTCTATCACCAGGCTGTAGTTCAGTGGTGTGATCTCAGCTCACTGCAAACTCTGCCTCCCGGGTTCAAGTGATTTTCCTGCCTCAGCCTCATGAGTAGCTGGGGCTACAGGCACGTGCCACCACACCCAGCTAATTTTTTTTTTTTTTTTTTTTTTTTTTTTTTTTTTAGTAGAGACAGAGTTTCACCATGTTGGCCAGAATGGTCTCGATCTCTTCACCTCGTGATCTGCCCGCCCCAGCCTCCCAAAGTACTGGGATTACAGGCATAAGCCACCATGGCCAGCCACAAATGTTTTAAGTTACTAACACACACACTCTGACATTTGTAGATAAATGATTATCTTATAGTGTTTTGATATCTGTTTATTTCTATAGGGCCTAATATAGAACAATTGACGGATGCATTTGGAAGAAATATACTAAAGGATGAATTCAGACCAATATCAAAGAGTCTCCCTGGTAAGAACAAAAACTACAAATTTATTATTTCTGGTTAGTTTATGTTCTCTGGAGTGTAACTACGTGTGGATCTTTAAGGAGAACCATGCCTATAAATTATTACGTAGGCAAAAGTCTTCATGAATTACTCTCTATAATATTTCAACTCCAGTTTCAACGAGTAATGTAAAATTAGCTTTTCTTTTTTTTTTAATTATACTTTAAGTTCTGGGGGACATGTGCAGAATGTGCAGGTTTGTTACATAGGTATACGCGTGCCATAGTGGTTTGCTGCATCCATCAGCCCGTCATCTACATTAGCTATTTCTCCTAATGCTATCCCTCCCCTGAACCCCCATCCCCCAAGAGGCCCTTGTGTATGATGTTCTCCTCCCCGTGTCCATGTGTTCTCATTGTTCAGCTCCCACTTATGAGCGAGAACTTGTGATGTTTGGTTGTCTAGTCTTGTGTTAGTTTGCTGAGAATGATTTCCAGCTTTATCCATGACCCTGCAAAGGACATGAACTCATCTTTTTTTTATGGCTGCATGGTATTCAGTGGTGTCTATGTGCCACATTTTCTTTATCCAGTCTATCATTGATGGACATTTGGGTTGGTTCCAAGTCTTTGCTATTGTAAACAGTACCACAATGAACATACGTGTGCACATGTCTTTATAATAGAATGATTTATACTTTTTTGGGTATATACGCAGTAATGGGATTGCTGGATCAAATGGAATTTCTATTTCTAGATCCTTGAGGAGTTGCCACACTGTCTTCCACTATGGTTGAACTAATTTACACTCCCACCAACAGTGTAAATGCATTCCTATTTCTCTACGTCCTCTCCAGCATCTGTTGTTTCTTATCTTTTTAATGATTGCCATTCTAACTGGCGTGAGATGGTATCTCACTGTGGTTTTGATTTGCATTTCTCTAATGGCCAGGGATGATAAGCTTTTTTCCATGTTTGTTGGATGTATAAATGTCTTCTTTTGAAAAGTGTCTGTTCTTTGGCCACTTTTTGATGGGGTTGTTTTTTTCTTGTAAATTTGTTTAAGTTCATTGTAGATTCTGGTTATTAGCACTTTATCAGATGGGTAGATTGCAAAATTATTTTCCCATTCTGTTGGTTGCTGGTTCACTCTAGTGATAGTTTCTTTTGCTGTGCAGAAGCTCTTTAGATCCCATTTGTCTATTTTGGCTTTTGATGCCGTTGCTTTTGGTGTTTTAGTCAGGAGGTCTTTGCCCATGCCTATGTCCTGAATCATATAGCGTAGGTTTTCTTCTAAAGTTTTTATGGTTTTAGGTCTTATATATATGTCTTTCATCCATCTTGCATGAATTTTTGTATAAGGTGCAAGGAAGGAGTCCAGTTTCAGTTTTCCGTATATGGCTAGCTAGTTTTTCCAATACAATTTATTAAATAGGGAATCCTTTCACCATTGCTTGTTTTTGTCAGGTTTGCCAAAGATCACATGGTTGTAGATGTGTGGTGTTATTTCTGAAGCCTCTGTTCTGTTCCAATGTTCTATATATCTGTTTTGGAACCAGTACCATGCTGTTTTGATTACTGTAGCCTTGTAGTATAGTTTGAAGTCAGGTAGCGTAATGCCTACAGCTTTGTTTTTTTTGCTTTGGATTGTTTTGGCTATGTGGGCTCTTTATTGGTTCCTCATTAAATTTAAAGTAGTTTTTTCCAATTCTGTGAAGAAAGTCAATGGTAGCTTGATGGGGATAGCATTGAATCTATAAATTACTTTGGGTAGTATGGCCATTTTCACAATATTGATTCTTCCTAACCACGAGTATGGAGTGTTTTTCCATTTGTTTGTGTCCTTTTTTATTTCCTTGAGCAGTGGTTTGTAGTTCTCCTTGAAGAAGTCCTTCACGTCCCCTGTAAGTTATATTCCTAGGTATTTATTTCTCTTTGTAGCAATTGTGAGTGGTTTGGTTTTCTCATGATTTGGCTCTCAATTTTTCTGTTATTAGTGTATAGGAATGCTTGTGATTTTTGCACATTGATTTTGTATCCTGAGACTTTGCTGAAGTTGCTTATCAGCTTAAGGAGATTTGGGGCTGAAATGATGGGGCTCTAAACATACAATCGTGTCATCTAAAACACAGATAATTTGATTTCCTTTTTTCTAATGGAATATCCTTTATTTCTTTATCTTGCCTGATTGCCTGACTAGAACTTCCAATACTGTGTTGAATAGAAGAGGTGAGAGAGGGCATCCTTATCCTATGCCAGTTTTCAAAGGGAAAGTGTCCAGCTTTTGCCCATTAAGTATGATATTGGCTGTGGGTTTGTCATAAATAACTCATTATTTTGAGATACGTTCTATCAATACCTAGCTTATTGAGAGTTTTTAGCATGAAGATGTGTTGAATTTTGTCAAAGACCTTCTCTGCATCTATTGAGATAATCATTTGGTGTTTACCTTTGGTTCTGTTTATGTGATGGATTACATTTATTGATTTGCATATGTTGAATCAGACTTGCATCCCAGGGATGATGCTGACTTGATTGTGGTGGATAAGCTTTTTGATGTGTTGTTGGATTCTGTTTGCCAGTATTTTATTGAGGATTTCTGCATCAATGTTCATCAGGATTATTGGCCTAAAATTTTCTTTTTTTGTTCTGTCCCTGCTAGGTTTTGTATCAGGATGATGTTGGCCTCATGAAATGAGTTAGGAAGGATTACTTTTTCTTCTATTGTTTGGAATAGTTTCAGATAGAATGATTCCAGCTTCTCTTTGTATCATTGGTAGAATTTGGCTGTGAACCCATCTGGTCCTGGATTTTTTTGGTTGGTAGGCTATTAATACCTGCCTCAACTTCAGAACTTGTTATTGGTCTCTTCAGGGATTCTACTTCCTGGTTTAGTCTTGGGAGGGTGTAGGTTTCCAGGAATTTATCCATTTCTTCTAGATTTTCTGGTTTATTTGTGTAGAGGTGTTTATAGTATTCTCTGATGGTAGTTTCTATTTCTGTGGGATCAGTGGTGATATCCCCTTTATTGTTTTTGTTGCATCTATTTGATTCTTCTCTCTTTTCTTCTTTATTAGTCTGACTAGCAGTCTGTCTATTTTCTTGATCAGTTCAAAAAACCAGCTCCTGGATTCATTGATTTTTTGAAGGGTTTTTTGTGTCTCGATCTCCTTCAGTTCTGCTCTGATCTTAGTTATTTCTTGTCTTCTGCTAGCTTTTGAGTTTGTTTGCTGTTGCTTCTCTAGTTTTTTTAATTGTAACATGAGGATATAGTTTTTAGATCTTTTCCACTTTCTCTTGTGAGCATTTAGTGGTATAAATTTCGTCTACACACTGCTTTAAATGTGTCCCAGATATTCTGATACATTGTGTCTTTGTTCTCATAGGTTTCAAAAACCATCTTTATTTCTGCCTTAATTTTGTTATTTATCCAGTAGTCATTCAGCAGCAGGTTGTTTAGTTTCCATGTAGTTGTGCAGTTTTGAGTGAGTTTCTTAATCCTGAGTTCTAATTTGATTGCACTGTGGTCTGAGAGACTGTTTGTTATGATTTCCATTCTTTTGCATTTGCTGAGGAGTGTTTTACTTCCAATTGTGTGGTCAATTTTAGGGTAAGTACAATGTGGTACTGAGAATAATGTATATTCTGTTGATTTGGGGTGGCGAGTTCTATAGATGTCTATTAGGTTCACTTGGTCTAGAGCTGATTTCAAGTCCTGGATATCCTAGTTAATTTTCTGTCTCATTTGTCTGTCTAATATTGACAGTGGGGTGTTAAAGTCTCCCACTATTATCGTGTGGGAGACTAGGTCTCTTTGTAGGTTGTTAAGAACTTGCTTTATACATCTGTGTGCTCCTGTATTAGGTGCATATATATTTATGCTATTTAGCTCTTCTCGTTGCATTGATCCCTTTACCATTGTGTAATGCCTGCCTCTCTCTCTCTCTTTCTCTCTCTCTCTCTCCTTTCCATTTGATTTGTAAATATTCCCTTATCCCTTTTTTTGAGCCTATGTGTGTCTTTGAACATGAGATGGGTCTCCTGAATACAGCACACTGATAGGTCTTGACTTTTTATCCAGTTTGCCAGTCTGTGTCTTTTAATTAGGGCATTTAACCCATTTACATTTAAGTTTAATATTACTATGTGTGAATGTGATCCTGCCGTTATGATGTTAACTGGTTATTTTGCCTGTTAGTTAATGCAATTTCTTCATAGCATCAATGGTCTTTACAATTTGGTATGTTTTTGCCATGGCTGATGCCAGTTGTATTTTCCATGCTTAGTGCTTCCTTCAGGAGCTCTTGTAAGGCAGGTGTGGTGGTGACAAAATCTTTCAGGTTCTGCTTGTCTGTAAAGTATTTTATTTCTCCTTTGCTTATAAAGCTGAGTTTGTTTGGATATGAAATTCTGGGCTGAAAATTCTTTTTTTTTAAGAATGTTGAATATTGGTCCCCACTCTATTCTGGCTTATAGGGTTTCTGCCCAAGAGATCCACTGTTAGTCTGATGGGCTTCCCTTTCTGGGTAACCCAACCTTTCTCTCTGGCTGCACTTAGCATTTTTTCCTTCATTTCAACCTTGATGAATCTGATAATTATGTGTCTTGGGGTTTTTGTTTTCGAGGAGTACCTTTGTGGCATTATCTGTATTTTCTGAATTTGAATGTTGGCTGCCTTGCTAGGTTGGGGAAGTTCTCCTGGATAATATCCTGAAAAATGTTTTTTAACTTAGTTTCATTCTCCTCTTCACTTTCAGGTACAGTGATCAAACATAGTTGGTCTTTCATGTAATCCCATATTTCATGGAGGCTTTGTTTGTTTCTTTTCATTCTTTTTTTCTCTAGTCTTGTCTTCTTACTTTATTTCATTGAGCTAATCTTCAATCTCTGATATCCTCTCTTCCACTTAATTGATTTGGCTATTAAAATGTGTGTATGCTTCATGAAGTTCTCATGCTGTGTTTCTCAACTCCATTAGGTCTTTTGTGCTCTTCTCTAAACTGGTTATTCTAGTTAGCCATTCCTATAATATTTTATCAGTGTTCTTAGCTTCCTTGCATTGGGTAAGAAAGGCTAGCTGATGGATGTGATAAAAAGATGTATATAACAGATAGCTATTTTATTGGTTAACAATCACTCTATATGGTAAAAATATCAGTGAAGTTTATAACATCTCAGCTGCAATTAAGTTATTTAGTTATATTTTTTAGCAATTACACAACTTAATTTAGTACTGGTGTTACAGGGTTAGACACACTTGGATAACAGTGACCATTGGTGTGAAATCAAAAGGAGACACTTTTACAAATAAATAATAGAGACATTGAAAGAGCACCCTGCTAAAACCACTGTCATCCAAGGGAGAGTGTTTGCATGCCTCAGGAGATGCCCTCAAAGAGCAACATAAGAGACTTTATACTGTAGAGGAAAGAGACTTTAGTAAAATACTTCTATCAAATCACACACATACACAAATGCATACCCCACCACCACCAACAACAAGCAAACAAAAACAACAAGCTCCCCAAAAGGGAAGAGTCAATCAGCATACAGATTTGCTATAATACATTATCAAAAATGTAGAGATTGTAGCAAAAAAGCTTAAGACATGCACAGCAACAGTACACTGTAACCCAAACACGAGGAAAAAGGCAAGGAAATCTGCTTGGGAGAGTCCTACATGTTAGATTTAGCAGACAATGACTACAAAGTAGTCAGCTAATGATATGGTCAAATAATTAAAACTTTTCTTAAAAAAAAAGAAGGTATAATGAAAATATTTTATCAAACAGATATCAAAATTGTGTTACAAAAAAATCTGGAGACAACAGATGCTGGAGAGGATGTGGAGAAATAGGAACACTTTTACACTGTTGGTGGGAGTGTAAATTAATTCAACCATTGCAGAAGACAGTGTGGCAATTCCTCAAGGACCTAAAAATAGAAATTCCATTTGACCCAGCAATCCCATTACTGGGTATATATCCGAAGGATTATAAATCGTTCTACTATAAGGACACAGGCACACGAATGTTCATTGTAGCACTGTTTACAATAGCAAAGACCTGGAACCAACCCAAATGCCCATCGATGATAGACTTGACAGGGAAAATGTGGCACATATACACCATGGAATGCTATGCAGCCATAAAAAATGATGAGTTCATATCCTTTGTAGGGACATGGATGAACCTGGAAACCATAATTCTCAGCAAACTGACACAAGAACAGAAAATCAAACACCACATGTTCTCATTCATAGGTGGGTGTTAAACAATGAGAACACATGGACACAGGGAGGGGAGCATCACATACTGGGGTCTGCTGGGGGAAAATAGGGGAGGGACAGTGGGGGGTGGGGAGTTGGGGAGAGATAGCATGGGGAGAAATACCAGATATAGGTGATGGGGAGGAAGGCAGCAACACACTGCCATGTGTGTAGCTATGCAACAATCTTGCATGTTCTTCACATGTACCCCAAAATCTAAAATGCAATAAAAAAATTTTTTTAAAGATAACCTAATTAATATTTGGAATTGAAAGGTAAAATAGCTGCAATGGAAAATTCATTAAAGGGTCAAGAAAAGATTTGAACTGTCATAAGAAGGAGTAAACAAATTTAACATAATGGGAATATAGTGGGGAGTATTCCAGGTAGAGAGATAATAAGAAAAAATATTTGAAGAAAAATGGCTGAATATTTTGAAAATTATTTACTGGGTAATATTAATCTATATATCCAAGCTCTATTAAATCTAAGTAGAATAAACACAAATCAATTTGTGACCAGACTCATCATTGTAAAAATATTGAAAGACAGAGAAAATGTAAAATGCAGCAAGAGAAAAACAATTCATCACATAGAAGGGAACCTCAGTAAGATAATATCTGACTTAGTATTAGAAACTTACAAAGTCCAGGAGGCAGTGGTGTTGTGTGTTTAAAGTGCTGAAAGAGAAAAAAGCTACCAACCAATAATTTTATTGCTAGCAAAACTATCTTTTAGAAAAGGCAAAATGCAGAAATTGCTAAATAAGTAAAAGTTAGGAGATTTCGTTCACAGCAGAACTGTTTTCCAAGAAATTCTAAAGTTCTTTAGACTAAAATGAATTGACCTCTAACAGTAATTTGAATCCCCCTAAGAAAGGCCTGTGTTAAATATTATAATTGCAAAAGACAGTATGTATAAATGTGTATTCCACCTCCTTTCTTTTCTTAATTTATCTAAAAGACAATTGTAAAAAATATTCATTTAATAATATAATTGGGCATATAACGTATCAGCATGTTATATATGCACAATAGCAACACAACGGTGATGGGAGGGAGAAGTGATATACAGTGTAAGAAAATAACACTGGATGATAAATACAGAGCAACAATAAAAAGAACCAAAAAATATAAATAAGTGTGTTCATATAGCAAATACTATAAATATGTACTTGCTCTTCTTTCTTTTCTCAATTTGTTTAAAAGGCAAAAAGTTATACAAAAAAAAATTATAGCGATATTATTACATTGCCCTTAACATTTGCGGGTATAATATGTGTAACAATAGCACAAAAACTGAGGAAAGAAAAAAGCTATATATAAAGGAGTAGTGTTCCTATATCTCAGTAGAAAGTAATTAATGTAAATGTGAAAAAGATTATAAAGTTGACTGAGGTAATGATTACTCATTTCTGTGACTATATTAGTAAGCATTGAATTAGACACTTTAAATGGAAAAGTAGTATGGTTTAAACACATACACATTTTTTAAAAGCTCAGGAACTCTAAGCAGGATAAGATTTTATAAATTTTTAAGCAAGAGGATAATAATGTGAGGGAGGAAAATTGTGACTTTTACTAGTTGACAAATTTCTCCAGCACATAACTCTGTATTCCTTGTGTTTAACTCTAAAATGCTCTCCTTATTAACTCCCTGATTATCTAAAAATCCTTTGATTTCTTAGTTCAAATGAATCAGACTTTCTTACTTATATTTGTAGGAGAAAGACAAAAGAGCTGAAATACACCTGTTAATGTTTTTCAGTTTTCTGTTGCATATAGCTCATTATTTTTACAAAATGTTGTAATTGAATTATTGAAAACTTGTTTGTCCAATATAATGCTTTTTTTTCTTTTTTTTTTTTGTGACAGAGTCTCACTCTGTTGTTCAGGCTAGTGTGCAGTGGCATGATCTTGGCTCACCACAGCCTTCACCTCATGGGTTCAAGTGATTTTCCTGCCTCAGCTTCCCAAGTAGCTGGGACTACAGATGCATGCCACCATGCCTGGCTAATTTTTGCATTTTTAGTAAAGATGGGGTTTCACTATGTTGGCCAGGCTGGTCTCAAACTCCTGAACTCGTGATCCACCTGCCTTGGCCTCCCAAAGTGCTGGGATGACAAGCATGAGCCACTGTGCCTGGCCAATATGATGCACTTTTACAATGATGCATAATCTGGTTTCTGCCTCTATTTAAATTATATTGGTGGTATATTCTGGCTGCCATGATAATAGTACAAATTTTAACATTAATCATGGTCTTAGCCAACTTTCCAAAGCAAGACTTCTGCTCTACTGTTCAGGATCATTACAGGTGTCTAACTTCAGTTACATGCTCTGGTAGAACCAAGTTTCACACAAAATAACTTTAGTTTCAATAGGTAACCAGGTTTACCAATTCTAATTATCCATTTTTCAATATGAAATTCTTTTTAATATATTTCACTTTAGTTTTTCCATAATTATACCTAGATATTAGTTTCTAAATTCAACAAAATATATAAATCATGTGAAAGCTCAAATGAAGAGGATTACAATTCTAATGCTGGTACCACTACAAATGTTTTCTTCTTCCTACCTACAGTCTGCCTGCTCAGAGAGCCAGAGAGAAAACTTTTTTTCATTAAATGAGTTGTTATTCTCTTTTATCATTGATGTCTATTTGAACTATAATTAAACCACCTAAAATAGACTATTAAGATATTTCTGGATGAGTCAAAGAACTTAGGTTTTATTACATTTTGTGAGTGATGATGACTATTGTGTACAGATAGATCAACTATGAAAAAATAATTTATGTTCCACCTCAACAGATATACCCCTACAGCATGAATATGTTTTTAATATATACTTAAAAGTTATGTTAGTACCACAAACTATTATGATTTAAGTTTGGATGGGAGATTGCTTTATATGGAAAAATAGTTAAGTTATAAGATAGCATAAGTCTGTGCCTCAATTTTGTTATTACTTGCTATATGGTCGTAGTCAAATAACTAAATACATCTAAACCTCAATATAATGAGGCTTATATGTTTGTTAATTGCCCTTTCAATTTAAGTTTCTATGTAGCTGCAATCTGAACACTTTATTATAATTCTTCTACTCTAATGAAAAATACTAATTAGGATTGTATTAGACACACACACACGTTAACATTTTCCTTAGAAAAGTGTTTTGAATTCTGTTTACTTTTATAGAGACTGATGAACGATTGCCTAGTGCAACGGAGAGAGGTACAATAAGTGATGAAATTAAGACACAGTTAAAGAGAAAGAGTTATCCTGGTAAGAATAATAATTTTTTAAAGCTACTAATGGTTTACTGTCTTCTCTAGAGTTTAAGTATGGATTTATATCTAATGACAACAGTACCTATATGTAGATATTACCTGAGAGAAAAAGTCTTCATGAATTTCCTCCTATAATTAGTTGAACTCTAGTATTTATTCTCAATGAAAAATTAACTTTAGGGCTCATTTATTTTAAAAAGTTATCCATAAAAGACTAATGCTGTAGTGATCTTAGAATATGCTTGAGGAAATTCTATTTCAAATGCTGTTCAATTTGCTTTCTATTTATGGCTAATTAGGAAAGTTGCTTTGAATCTGAAAAAGCAAAATTGCTAGCTTATGAATGTAATAACAAGGTGAATATAGCTGATAATCATTTCATTGGTTACCAATTCCCTCTTATATCGTTATGTTATCAGGCAAATTGACAAGGTTTCCACTACTTTAGTTTTGTTATATAGTTCAAAAATTATACTACTGCATTTTTACTGGTGAAACAGTGACACATTTCTCCTTAATTTTTGGTGTTATACCCAAAGAGGCAGACAGCTTAACAGGGACATAAGGGAAAGAGACAGACAAAGGGAGCCCCGTTAAAACAACTCTTATCCAAAAGTGATTGTGTGTTGTAATGGTTAATATTGTCAACTCGATTAGATTGAAGGATGCAAAGTATTGATCCTGGTGTGTCTGTGAGGATGCTCCCAAAAGAGATTAACATTAAGTCAGTGGACTAAGAAAGGCAGATTCACCCTTAATTAACCAAGTTTTGTTTCCCACACAAAACTTGGTGGCCGTTTCAGCTGACAACATGGGTTTCCAGCACAAATCTGGGTGGCTGTTTTAGCTGGCGTCTGGAATGCCTGCGAGACAGAGCTGCCCATTTCCCTGAAAAAAGGGGGGCTGAAGGCAGGAGGCCAAGTGATCTGGCTTGGGGGGGTGCCACCCCCACAAAGACCAGCAAACTGAAACCCACTGGCTGGGATTTTCACAGCCAGTACAGCAGTTTGAGCTCAACCCAGGACAGTGGAGCTTGGTGGAGGGAAGGGCATCTGACATTACTGAGGCAGTTCGCTATTACTGAGCCAGTTCTAACATACTTGTATAAACAAAATCACAAGGGAGGTTACACATAGCTGGACAGAACCTGTGGTAGCTCAGCAACACCTCTGCAGGCAGACTGCAACTAGACTCCCTCCTTGCTGGGCAGGGCATCTCTGAAAAAAGGCAGCAGCCCATCAAGGGATATATAAATAAAGCCCCACATTCCAGGGCAGAGCACCTGGGAAAAGAGGCAGTTGTTTCACTGCAGCAAACTTAAACATTCCTGCACAGCAGCTGTGAAGGGAGCAACAGAGCTCCCAGCACAGCACTTGAGCTCTGATAAGGGACAGACTGCCTCCTCAAGTGGCTCCCTGACCCCAGTATAACCAAAGAGACACCTCATACAGGAAAGCACTGACTGACATCTAGTGGGCACCCTTCTGGGACCAAGCTACCAAAGGACACAATAATTACTGTTCTGCAGCCCACACAGGTGATTCCCAGGCAAGAAGTGTCTGAAGTGGACCTGCAGCAGTCCTGCAGCAGAGGGGCCTGACTATTAGAAGGAAAACTTAAAAAAAAAGAAATGGCTTCAACATCAACAGAAAGAACAGCCACTCAGAGACCCCCATCCAAAAGTCACCAACTTCAAAGACTAAAGATAGATAAATCCACAAAGATGGGAAGAAACCAGTGCAAAAAGGCCGAAATCACTGAAAACCAGAAGATCTCTCTTCCTCCGAGGGATCAGAACTCCTCACCAGCAAGGGAACAAAACTGGATGGAGAACAAGTTTGATGAATTGGCAGAAGCGTGCTTCAGAGGTTGGGTAATAACAAACTTCTCTGAGCTAAAGGAACATGTTCTAACCCAATGCAAAGAAACTAAGAACCTTGAAAAAAGGTTAGACGAAATGCTATCAAGAATAACCAGCTTAGAGAACAACATAATCTGTTTACTTTTATAAAGGCTGATGAACGATTGCCGAGTGCAACTGAGAGAAGTACAATAAATGATGAAATTAAGACACAGTTAAAGAGAAAGAGTTATCCTGGTAAGAATAAGAATTTTAAAAACTGCTTATGGTTTACTGTCTTCTCTAGAGTTTAAGTATGGATTTATCTCTAATGACAACAGTACCTATATGTAGATATTACATGAGAGAAAAAGTCTTTATGAATTTCCTCCTATAATTAGTTGAATTTTAGTATTTATTCTCAATGAAAAATTAGCTTTAGGGCTCATTAATTTTTAAAAAGTTATCCATAAAGGACTAATGCTGTAGTGATCTTAGAATATGTTTGAGGAAATATTTCAAATGCTGTTCAATTTGCTTTCTATTTATGGCTAATTAGGAAAGTTGCTTTGAATTTGAAAAAGCAAAATTGGAAGTAAATCACTCCTCAGCAAATGCAAAAGAACGGAAATCATAACAAACAGTCTCTCAGACCACAGTGCAATCAAAGTAGAACTCAGGATTAAGAAACTCACTCAAAACTGCACAACTACATGGAAACTGAACAACCTGCTCCTGCATGACTACTGGATAAATAGTGAAATGAAGGCAGAAATAAAGATTTTCTTTGAAACCAGTGAGAATAAAAACACAATGTATCAAAATCTCTAGGACACATTTAAAGCAGTGTGTAAGAGGGAAATTTATAGCACAAAACGCCCACATGAGAAGTGAGGAAAGATCTAAAATTGACACCCTATCATCACAATTAAAATAACTAGAGAAGCATGATCAAACAAATTCAAAATCTAGCAGAACACAAGAAATAACTAAGATCAGAGCAGAACCGAAGGAGATAGAGACACAAGAAACCCTTGAAAAAAATCAAAATCCATGAGATTTTTTTTGAAAAAATCAACAAAATAGTTGGACTGCTAGCAAGACTATTAAAAAAGAAAACAGAAGAATCAAATAGATGCAATAAAAAAATGATAAAGGGGATATCACCACTAATCCTACAGAAGTACAAACTACCATCAGAGATTTCTACAAACAACTCTATGCACATAAAATAGTAAATCTAGAAGAAATGGATAAATTCCTGGACACTTACACCCTCCAAGACTAAACCAGGAAGAACTTGAATCCCTGAATAGACCATTTAACAAGTTCTGAAGTTGAGTGAGCAATTAATAGCCTACCAACCAAAAAAAGTACATGTCCAGACGAATTCTACCAGACTTACAAAGAGGAGCTGGTACCATTCCATCTGAAACTATTCCAAACAATACAAAAAGAGGGAATCCTTTAAACTCATTATATAAGACCAACATCATCCTGATACCAAAACCTGGCAGAGACACAACTAAAAAAGAAAATTTCAGGCCAATATCCATGTTGAACATTGATGGAAAAATCTTCAATAAAATACTGACAAGCCGATTGCAACAGCACATCAAAAAGCTTATCCATCATGATCAAGGAGGCTTCATCCCGGGGTGTAAGGCTGGTTCAACATACACAAATCTATAAATGGAATCCATCACATAAACAGAACCAAAGATGAAAACCACATGATTATCTCAATAGATGCAGAATAGGCCTTCGACAAAATTCAACAGTCCTTTATGCTGAAAGCTCTCAATAAACTAGTATCAATGGAATGTATTTCAAAATAATATCTACTTGTGACAAACCTACAGCCAATATCATACTTAATGGGCAAAGAATGGAAGCATTCTTTATGAAAACTGGCACTAGACACGGGTGCCCTCTCTCACCATTCCTATTCAACATAGTATTGGAAGTTCTAGCCAGAGCAATCAGACAAGAAAAAGAAAGGGCGTTCAATTAGGAAAAGAGGAAGTCAAATTGCCGCTATTTGCAGATAACATGATTGCATATTTAGAAGACCCCATAGTTGCAGCCCAAAATCTCCTTAAGATGATAAGCAACTTCAGCAAAGTCTCAGAATACAAAATCAATGTGCAAAAGCCACAAGCATTCCTATACAACAATAACAGACAGAGAGCCAAATCATTAGTGAACTCCCATTCACAATTGCTACCAAGAGAATTAAATACCTAGGAACACAACTAACAAGGGACATGAAAGACCTCTTCAAGAAGAACTACAAACCACTGCTCAAAGAAATAAGAAAGGACACAAACAGATGGAAAAATATTTAATGTTCATGGTTAGGAAGAAACAATATGGTGAAAATGGCCATACTGACGAAAGCAATTTACAGATTCAATGCTATCCCCAACAAACTACTATTGACCTTCTTCGCAGAACTGGAAAAAACCACCTTAAACTTCATATGAAACCAAAAAAGGCCCGCATAGCCAAGACAATCCTAAACAAAAAGAACAAGGCTCTAGGCATCGCACTACCTGACTTCAAACTATTACAAAGGTACAGTAATCAAAACAACATGGTACTGGTGTCAAAACAGAGATATAGACCAATGGAACAGAACAGAGGCCTTGGCAGTAACACCACAGATCTACAGCCATCTGATCTTTGACAAACCAGACAAAAACAAGCAATGGGAAAGGGATTCCCTGTTTAATAAATGGTGTTAGGAAACTGGCTAGACATATGCAGAAAGCTGAAACTGTATATCTTTGTTAAACCTTATAAAAGCAGCAGAAGCCACAATAGACAAATGGAATCTAATTAAACTTAAGAGCTTCTGCACAGCAAAAGAAACAATCATTAGAGTGAACTGGTGACCAGTAGAATGGGAAAAAAAATCTGTAAGCTACTCATCTGATAAAGGGTTAATACCAGAATCTACAAAGAACTAAAACAAATATACAAGAAAAAAGCAAACAACTCCATCAAAAAATATGTGAAAGATATTAACAGACACTTTTCAAAAGAAGACATTTATACATTCAACAAACATGAAAATTGCTCATCATCACTGGTCATTTGAGAAATGCAAATCAAAACCACAGTGAGATACCATCTCATGCCAGTTCGAATGATGATCATTAAAAAATCGGAAGAAAACAGATGCTGGAGAGGATGTGGAGAAATAGGAATGCTTTTACACTGTTGGTGGGAGTGTAAATTAGTTCAACCATTGCAGAAGACAGTGTGGTGATTGGGACCTAGAAATAGAAATACGATTTGACCCAGGAATCCCATTACTGGGTACATACCCAAAGGATTATAAACCATTCTGTTATAAAGACACATGCACACGTATGTTCACCGTGGTACTGTTTACAATAGCAAAGACTTGGAACCAACCCAAATGCCTATCAAAAATAGACTGGATAGACGTGGTGGCACATATACACCATGGAATACTATGTAGCCATTAAAAAGGATGAAAACATCACACACTGGGGTGTGTTTGGGGTGGGGGCTAGGGGAAGGATAGCAGGGGGTGGGTTGTTGGGGAGGGATAACATTAGGAGAAATACCTAATGTAGGTGATGAGGGGATGGAGGCAGCAAACCACCATGGCCTGTGTATACCTAAGTTAACAATCCTGCAGAATCTGTACATGTACCCCAGACTTAAATTATAATAAAATGATTAATTAATTAATTAAAAATAACATTGAGAGACAAAGTGAAAACCTTGAAATGGCAAGAGAACAACTACAGTCATGTGTTGCCTAATGTGTCCTGAGAAATGTGCATTAGGCAACTTCATCATCATGCAAACATCGTAGAGTATACTTACAGAAACCTAGGTGCTATAGCTTTCTACACATGTAGGCCATTTTGTATAGCTTATTGCTCCTAGGCTATGAACTTGTATAGCATGCTACTGGACTGCATTCCACAGGCAATGATAATACAAGAATAAGCAATTCTGTATCTAAACATAGAAAAGGTACAGGAAAAATACTTTATAAAATATTAAAAATGGCAACCCTGTATATAGCACTTGCCATGACTAGAGCTTGTAAAACTGAGTGTTGCTTTGGGTGAGTCAGTGAGTGAACAGTGAGTGAATGCAAAGGTCTAGGGAATTATTGTACACGACAGTAGACTTTGTAAATGCCATATGTACACTTAGGCTACATGAATTTCTTTTTAAAAATCTCTTCTTAAAAATAACCTTGGCTTACTGTAACTTTTTAACTTTATAAACTTTTTTATTTTTATTTTTTTGGTTTGGAGTTTTATAATAACATTTAACTTAAAACATAAATATTGTACAGTTGTACAAAAACATTTTCTGTATTCTTGTTCAATAAGCTGCTTTCTGTTTAAATTTTTTTTTAATTTTAAAACATTTTTGTTAAAAACCGAGACACAAGCACACACGTTAGCCTAGACCTACACAGAATCAGGATCATCAGTATCATCACTGTCTTCCACCTCCACATCTTGCCCCAGTGGAAAGCCTTCAGAGGAAATAACACACATGAAGCTTTCATCTCCTGTGATAACAATGCCTTCTTCTGGAATACGTGCTGATGGACCTGTCTGAGGCTGTTTTACAGTTAACATTTTTTGTAAGTAGAAGTATACACACTCAAATTAAACAAAAAAGTATAGAAAATATATAAACCAGTAACATAGATTTTTGTTCTTATCATTGTGTTATGTACTATACATATTTCTATGTGCTATATTTTTATATATCTGGCAGCAGAGTAGGTTTGTTTACACCAGCATCATCACAGGCATGTGAGTAATTTATTGCATTAAGATGTTACAATGGCTACAACATCACTAAGTGATAGAAATTTCTAGCTCCATTACAATTTTATGGAATCACCTTTTTATGTGTGGTTCAAATATCATTTTGTATAGTTACATGACTGCAACCATACAAAAGTTAATTCTAGTAAGATTAATAGGTGTCATAGCATCAAAAACTCTGCAGGCCAAGACAGGGCACAGTGGCTCAAGCTTGTAATCCCAGCACTTTGGGAGGCCACAGCAGGTGGATGACTTGAGGTCAGCAGTTCAAGACCAGCCTGGCCAACATGGTGAAACCTACCAAAATACAAAATTAGCTGGGCATGGTGGTGTGGGCCTGTAATCCCAGCTACTCGGGAGGCTGAGGCAGGAGAATCACTTGAACACAGGAGGTGGAGGTTGCAGTGAACCAAGATTGTGCCACTGCACGCAACAGAGTGAGGCTCTGTCTTAGGAAGAGACACACACACACACACACAAAATAACAACAACACTAAAAAACAAACTATAGAGGCCAAAAGGAAGTGGGATGGCATTTTCAAAGGGCTGAAAGAAAAAAATATAAACCAATAATCTTATGTTTGGCAAAATTATTTTTAAAAGTAAAACTCAAATAAAAAGAATCTGAAATAAATAAAACTTTACAGAATTATTTGATATCGGGCCATGTTATTAAAAAAAAATTACTTAAGAAAGTTCCTCAGGCTGAAAACAAGTTTCCTCACATTGTAATTTTTTCAACAAAATCATTAGTGAAATAATTATATTACATAATATATAAATGCATTTTTTTCTTCTCTTCATTGATTTAAAATGTAATTGTGTGGTAACATATATAGATATATAAAATTGATCTGTAACTGTATTTTGGGACCTATCACATGATAGACATGTAACAGACATGCAACATATTTGACAATAGCACAAAGGAAATCAGTGGGAGCAATAGGATGCTGGAGTAAGAACATGACAACAGATGGTAGCTCAAATCCACAGGAAATAATAAAAAGAACCAGAAATTATAAACAAGAATGTTCATATAACAAACATTATAAATATGTACTTGTTCTTCTTTCTTTTCTCAGTTCTTTAAAAGGCATAAAGTTATATAGAGAAATAACTGTAACAGTGTCTTTTGATATTTATAGATATAACAACAGTACAAATGTCAGGAAGAGGAAATAGAAAATATAGCGGTAATGCTTGTATAGCTTACTGGAAATTCATTAGAATAAATCTGAAGTAGATTCTAAAAATGACTGTGGTGATGGTTTAACAACTCAGTAAATATATTAAACACTCTTGAATTAGATGATTTTACAAGAGCAAATTGTATGATATATTACACTTAAAAAAAAAAAGAAAGCTTAATATAAAATCCATGTGTAACTGTTTTGAAAAGAGGTGTAAAGTACTGGGAGGGTGTTATGAAGGAGGAAAATTGTGGCCCTTACTAAAATATGTTTCTCTGGCACATATTTTTGTATTCTTAGTACTTAAACCTATCTGTCCTCAAATATTCATTACTTATCTAAGAAATTTTGCTTGCCTAATTCAAATGAATCAGCACTCCTTGCTTATACCAGTTAGGGAAATAACTAAAGAGGTTAAAATATGTCTGCTAATATTCCCCAGGTTTTTGTCGTTGTTGCTATAGGTCGTCATTTCCACAAACTATTTTAATTACTTGTTCTCTCAATCTGATGCATCTTTTCATGTGGAGATGATGCCCTAAATTGTTCCTACTTCTACACCTACAAAACTTGAAGTCCACTAGATGACCCAGCTTCATCAATCCAGATTATTCCATTTTTAATATGAATTTTCTTTATTAATTAATTTTTATTTTATTTTGCCTTCATTGACCCTAGTAGCAGTTTTAAAACCAAGCAAAAAGTTCAAATCATATTAAAACCCAAAAAAGGATCCAATATCAATTTTGATACGAATGCAAATCTACCTATTTCTTCCTCTCCGTCTACAAAGTCGACATTCTAAATGGACCTGAGAGGGCATTTATACCAGTCCATGATAATCACTGCTGTCATGTAATTATAGTTACATGACATAAAAAGGGGCTAACATATTCTTAGAAGAATCAGATAATTTCTCCCTGATGGTAACTTTCTGTGACTATAAAGACCACAGTTTACAAGTTGACTTGTGAATAAAATTTTATTTCACCTCACCAGGTATATCCATATACAGTATGAATATGCTTAAAAATTATATTTGTATCATAAACTCTCTAGGATAATTTCAGTTTGCAGAAGAGGCAGCATTGTATGGAAAAAAAGCACTGGTTAAGGAATAATGAACATCTACTTCTGTATAAGTTTTATAGTTAACTATGTATCTGATTTTGTTCAAATCGCTAAACTTCTCTAGGCTTATATAATCGCTATGACCGCTTCCAATTCTAAGGCTTTGTGATTCTGTAGTCCAGATCTTTTTTTAACTAATTCATCTTCTTTAATAACTGATGCTAATTAAGTTATTACTATTCATACATACAAATATAACATATACACAGACATAGACATATGTTACAATTTACCTTTCAAAGCATTTTGATAATCTGTTTTATTTTTATAGAGGCTGTCCTAAAACGCTTGAAAGACATTAATGGAAAAGATATCATAAAGCAGCTAATGAACATACAATTAAAGAGTCATGTAGGTAAGAACAAGAATTTTTCGTCGCCTGTTAATGGCTTATTTAGCTTCTCTGAAGTTAAATTAAATATGGATCTTTGATGACAACTGTAGCTGTAAGTTATTATTACATGAGAAAATGTCTTCCTGAATTTCCTCCTATAATTTGTGGAACTCTAGTATTTGCTGTCAGTGGAGCATTAGTTAGATATGATTAGTTTTAGAACTCATCCATTGGTTAAGTAATTCATAAAAACACAAGGCTGTTGTGAACTAAATATGTGCTTGATGCTATTATTTCAAATGCTATACTTTAATTCAGTGGTGAGTTCAGGTCCTGAATATCTCTGATACAATTTTCTGTATCAATTATTTGTCTAATATTATCAGTGGGGTGTTAAAGTCTCCCACTATTATTGTGTCAAAGTCTAAGTCTCTTTGAAGGTCTCTAAAAACTAGCTTTATGAATTTGGGTGTTCTTGTGTTAGATGTTTATATATTTGGGATAGTTAGATCTTCTTGTTGAATTGAACCTTTATCATTATATAATGCAGCACTATTCGCAATAGCAAAGATGTGAAATCAACCCAAATGCCCTTCAGTAATAGACTAGATAAAGAAAATTTGGTACATATACACCATGGAATACTATACAGCCATAAAAAAGAAACAAGACTATGTTCTTTGCAGGGACATGGATGGAGCTGGAGGCCATTATCCTTAGCAAACTAACACAGGAACTGTAAACCAAATACTTCATGTTCTCACTTATAAATGGGAGCTAAATGATGAAAACACATGGGCATGTAGAGGGGGAACAACACACACTGGGGCCTTTTGGAGAGTGGAGGATGGAGGAAGGACAAGGTCAGAAAAAATAACTAATGGGTACTAGGCTTAATACTTGGGTGATGAAATAATCTGTGCAAAAAAACCCCATGACACAAGTTTACCTATGTAACAAACTTGCACTTGTACCCCTGAACTTAAAATGAAAGTTGAAAAAAATGGAAACAAATGCTGTTCTTATCATTTTATATTTCTGGCTTAGACAGGAAAGTTGCCTTAAATTTGTAAAAGCACACAGACTAACTTATGAATGTGGTAGTCCTTTTACTGGCTACCTATTCTCTGTATTTGATAAAAATGTAAGGTAAAATTATAATATCTCAGCTACAGTAAAGTTATTTAGTTGTGTTACACCGTTCAGTGATTACAACACAGCTAAATTTAGTTCTGGAATAACAGTGTTAGGCATCTTTTTCCTTGATCTTTGGTGACATACAGAAAGAGGCAGGGAGCTTAGTAGAGAAATATGGGAGAGAGGCAGTTAAAGAGAGCCTAACTAACACAGGAATAGTAAACCAAATCACTATCATTCAAAGGTGGCAGTGTGCATGCCAAAAGCAGTGATCCCAGAGGAACAATATTGGAAGCTTCTTGTTGTGGAGAAAGATACTATAGTAAAATACTCAAAAAAATCACTAAAAAGCAAACAGCAAGCTTTGAAATATAATGAGTAAATCAATATCTAGATTTTTCTATATCTTTGAAAACATCCAGTTTTTATTTTAAAATTCATATAGAACAACAACAAAAAAACAAACAAACAAAAGAGCCTGAATACCCAAAGCAATCATAAGCAAAAAGAACAAACCTTGTGGTATCACATTACTTGACTTCAAACTATGCTATAAGGCTATAGTAACCAAAACAATATGATACTAAAACAGACATGTAGACCAATGGAAAAGAAGAGAGAACCCAGAGAGCCACACACCTACAGCTATCTGATCTTTGACAGCCAACAAAAATAAGCAGTGGGGAAATGATTCCCTATGCAATAAATGGTACTGAGATAGCTGGCTAGCCATGTGCGGATAAAACTGGACCCCTACCTTTTATCATATACAAAAAGTAACTCGGGATCGATTACAAATTTAAATTTAAGACTTTAAACTATAAGAATCCTAGAAGAAAACTTAGGAAACACCATTCTGGGCATTGGCCTTGGGAAATAATTTATGACTAAGACCTCAAAAGCAAGTTGAATGAAACCAAAAATTGACAAGTGGGACCTAATTAAATGAAAGAGCTTCTGCACAGCAAAAGAAACTACTAACAGAGTAAACAGACATAATGGGAGAAAATGTTCACAAACTATGGATTTGACAAAAGTCTATATCCAGAATCTGTAAGGAACATAAACATCTCAACAAGCAAAAAACAATCCCATCATAAACTGAACAAAAGACATGAGCAGACACTTCTCAAAAGAAGATATACAAGCTACAAACAAACATATGAAAAAATGTTTCCCCCAAAACCTAAAATGCAATAAAATAAATTAAAAAAAAAAAGAAAAATATTCCATATCACTAATCATCAGAGAAATGCAAATCAAAACCACAGTGAGATACCATCTCACACCAGTAAGAATGACTGTTTCTTAAAAATCAAAAAACAACAGATGCTGGAAAGGCTATGGAGAAAAGGGAACACTTATACACTATTGGTGGGAATGTACATTAGGTCAGCCACTGTGGAAAGTAGTGTGGAGATTTCCCAAAGAGCTTAGAACTACTATCCTATCCAGCAATCCCATTACTGGATATGTATCCAAAAGAACACAAATGATTCTGCCAAAAAGACACATGCACTTCTGTGTTCATTGCAACCTGTTCACAATCACAAAGACATGGAATCAACCTAAGTGCTCATCAGTGGGGGACTGGATAAAGAAAATATATCATGAAATACTATGTAGCCATATAAAAGGGTAAAATCTCCTTTGCAGCAACATGGATGCAGCCAGAGGCCAATAACCTATGCAAATTAACCTGGGGACAGTAAACCAAATATAGTGTGTCCTCACTTATAAGTGGGTGCTAAGCATTGGGTAGATATGGACACAGAGATGATAACAATAGACACCAACGACTACTGGTAGAGAGGTGGGGCGGGGGGGCAGGAGGTGAAAAACTACCTATTGGGTACTATGCTCATTACCTTGGTGATAGGATTGATTATTCATACACCGAGCCTCATCAGCATGCCGTATGCCCAGGTAACAAGCCTGCACATGTACCCCCGAATCAAAAAATGTTGAAATTTTAATATAAATACATTATAAATAAATAAAAATAAAATGTCCAGTTTTTAGTTTAAAACTATGAGCCATTCAAAAAACAGTAAACACAGGAGGAAGAAAAGTAAGCAACAAGAAATCTGTGGGAGACCAAGATGTTAGACTTAGCAAAGACTACAAGGCAGTTATTATAAGTAGGTTCAGATAATTCGAGGAAACCATAATTAAAGCATAAAAGTGGGTATGGTGACAATGTGTGTATTTGCTGCTCAGACTGCCAGAACAAAATACTGCACTGGGTGCCTTAAACATCAGAAATTGGTTTTCTCGCAGTTCTGAAGGCAAAAAGTCCAAAATCAAAGTGCTGCCAAGGTTGATTTCTGGTGTTTCCTCTGCTCCTGACTGGCAGACAGCTGCCGACTTACAAGGCCTCTTCTCTGTGAGTGGGGATGGATAGAGAGAAGGTACACATGAGAGAGAGAGCACTCTCAGGTGTCTCTTCCTCTTCTTATAAGGACACAGTACCATTGGAAAAGGGCCCCCACCCTTTGACTTCAGTTCCACTTAATTACCTCCTTAAAGTCTCTATCTCCAAATATATTTGCATTGGAGGTGAAAGCTTCAAATAAGAATTATGAGGAGACACAATTCAGTTCATAATCATGTCTTATCGATTAGAGAATATCAACAAAGAGGAATTACTTTCAAAGGGAATAAATGGGAATTCTAGACTTGAATAGTACAATAATTTCAAAGAAAACTTCACTAGACTGTGTAAATAGTAGATTTGAACTCTCAGGAAAAGGAATCATGCCAGGCACGGTGGCTCATGCCTATAATCTCAGCACCTGGGAGGCTGAGGTGGGTGGATCTCCTGAGGTCACGAGTTCAAAAATAGCCTGACTAACATCGTGAAACCCTGTCCCTACTAAAACTACAAAAATTAGCCTGGTGTGGTAGCATGACCCGTGTCTGTAGCTACTTGGGAGGCTGAGGCAGGAGAATCACCTGAACCCAGGAGGCGGAAGTTACAGTGAACCAAGATCACACCACTGCACTCCAGCCTGGGCAACAGAGGGAGACTCCATCTTAAAAAAATAGAAAATAAAAAAACAAAAACAAAAGCAAAACCTACATACACAAACAAAAACAAAAGATAAAAGAATTAGAACAAATACAATAATAGAAACACTAGAAGGTGAACAGAGAGAAAAGAGCAAAAAGAATATTTGAAAAAGCAATAACTGAAAATATTTAATGTATGAAAATCTACACATTTAAACTTAGTGAAACCCAACCATATTAAACACAAAGAAATCCACACAGAGACCCATTTTATTAAAAAATTTTAAGGAGAAAGTCTTTAAAACAGGAAGAGAAATACAAATCATATGTAAAAGGGGAGCCCAATGATATTAATTTAGCATCAGAAACTATGAAGTCCAGAAGTTATGGGATGGCATATTCAAAGTGTTGAAAGAAAGAAACAGTCAATTAAGGATCTTATATTGAACAAAACTAACTTTTTAAAATTATGGTAAAATAAAGATAGTCCTAAAAATTCTGAGATTTGTTGCTAGGTAACCTGCTTTATAAAAATACTAAAAATGGTCTTCTGAATGAAATTAAGTGATCCCACACATTAATTAGAACCCATGCAGAGAGAGAGAGAACTTGGCAGGATTTGTTACCCCAGGCTCTAGAATCCTGGGGAAGAGCTACCATGCAGCCTATGCCTGGTCAACTGGAGGACCATCCTAGGGGAAAGGGGACAATCTGAGCCTCTGGCCTGCCATGCCCACAAGCATAACAATTGCTTTTGTGTAATGTGCGGACATAGTATTTGATTCATTTCAACCAGGCATTTGCATCTTGATATACTGTCTCAATTGCCAAAGATTGCTTTAAGTCTTTAACTTTTACAGTAGCTACCTTGG